GATGGTCACTTCCTTCCCTTCCCCTCCCAGCACTGCAAATAACTGTGGTCAGACAGCCCTGCTCCCCACCCAGCCAGGAGGCAGGGAAAGTGAGAGGCTGACAGTGGTCACTACAGCTTTCTGGCAGGGGATCAGGAGGGACCCGGACAGGAATGAATGTGGGTGAATGTGTGGACTACTGTTGCTCAAGGCAGTTTTCCCCACGCCGCTTCCCCACGCCGCTTCCCCCAAGCCTCCCAGGAAAGGCCAGGAGGAGCAGGAGCTCAAGGGGCTGGGGCACCCACGAGGGGCTCATACTGTGCACAAAGCTTGCACAGCAGCTAATGGACCGGCACTTGTCCATGGTGCCTTGTGGCATCGTCTGAGAATCCAGGGCTATTTCATGCCTTAGGAACCTGCCACATGAAGTCAGCAAAGCGCCCAAGGGGACCAAACGGGACACCCTGACAGCCTAGGCCATGCATGGAACTGTCCCGGGGTGCGGGGTGGTGGTGTTACAGGAGAAGCATCACCTTCCCGTCCCACAGACCTCCCCACACTACCCATGCTCACAGCTGCCTTTGGGGAAGCAGCCCCAAGCCCTCTTGCTGTGCCCTAGGTCTTAGGGCACTCAGTGAGCTGGGGAGCAGCAGAGGACTATTGTTTTCAAACCTTCAGGAACCTCTCACTGGGTTCCCAAATCAGCCAACTATTGCCCTGTTCTCACTTGGAGGGGACCTCAGCGCCTCAAGCTGTGAGAAGATGGTGCCAAGCCTGTGCCCACCATGACATAGAGCCTGGAGGGGACCAGTCCACAGGGAATGAGCTGTGATACTCACAGCTGCATGGTCTGAGAGGACACAGGCAGCAGAGCCCTCTGATCCCCTGCCCCAACCATGACACCATGCAGACCACAAACTCCACCACACATAGCTCTCCCATGCTTTTGTCCTTTGTGCACACACTCTTGTGAGAAGCCCTCAGGGAGACCCTTATCACACACACCTCCAGCAAGAACATCCCACACATCGGTGAACCGTAGTCTGGACTCAGCGCAGGCTCAGGGGCTGCCTCCACACCACCTTCAGCAGCACCTACCCTTCCCCCAGGCAGGCAGAGAGCCCCAAACCTCCTGTGCACACACAGCCTGCCTTCCCCTGCTCAGGAAGGGCAGAGCGGGGCAGCCAGGAGAGCTCCTGATGCCTCCCTTACCGATGCACTCCACGTTAGACCGAATGCGGATCCAGACACCTCTGCTGTCCCTTCCGAGCCAAACTTCTTTGTATACAGGTTTCCCATGACTGATGGACTGGACTTCCCTCGCACATTTGATGTGGGTGAAGGACGGCTGGAAACCCGCAGGGCAGCTCAGCATCACTTCTTCGTTCATCTTGTACTTCTCCTCGTCTGGTGCCAGTTGGAGTCTTGAGTCCCACCGGGGCCTTTTGCACGTTTCTGACAGAGGTGAAAGTGGATGTTAGTTGGGGTGGGAGGTAATAAGGTGGGGCATGGGTGGGTGGTGGGAGAAAAGTCCCCAGCAGTCCATCCAGCCCCTGAAGGGAGAGGGAAGGTGACATGTCCATCTGCCAGGACATGACGTGCAGGCCAGGCTTGTTGAGAGGCCGCTCTCCTTGTGTCCCTGAAGTGTGAATGATCATTCATCCGTGAACCTCCCCCACCCAGCCGTGTGGCCCGGGACATTATATTCCCCCCTCCACAGCCCACAGCAGGGAGTTTCCCAGGACAACCACCCCTGCACTAGGAGACCCCTCCAGCCACTCATTCACACATGTCACCCACCCCGTCTCGGGCTGCCTTTGATGGGCCATGGTCCACCAGCCCTGATGGGGTGCATGTCTCTCCAGCCATGGCTCAGCTGTGCTACAGGGATCCGAGAAGCCCCTGCCGCTCCTCTGGGGTGGCATCACCCATCCCCAACTATCCAGCCCGATCCCGTCCTTCCACACACACCGTGCCGTAGCTCCTGCCCCACCGGGGTCTCCCAGAGACACCAGGTGCCCCAGCTGACACGGCCCTCAGAGGTCCACCTGGGCTCCAGCCCAGGGCTGCAGGCAGTAAAGATGCATATCAAACTTGCAGGAGGAGGAGCAGCAAAACCTCTCCAGCAAAGAGGAGGAACCACTTCTTACCTGTTTCCTGGGGCATCCCTCGGACATTGGGATCAGGTTCTTCCTGGCCCTGTGCTGCCAGCAGAGATACAAGGCCCAGGAGACAGCTCAGAGCCAGCAACTGCAGAGCCATGCTACCATGAAGTCCCCAGGCAGGACTGAAATCTCAGCCTCACTCGCTGCCTCTGAGCCCAGGCATCTGTAACTGACTGCAAGGCTTGCAACCACAGGAAGGAAACAGACACGTGGAGAAATCTTGAGACACAGGAGGCTTCCTCTTTGGGGAGGGAACCACCCATCAGCATCAGTGCTGCTGCCTTTTGCTGCTTTTTTTTCCCCAAGGGCATCCAGGCACTGGTACTCAACAGAAGAACCCCTGTCGCCAGGATCCCAGAGGTTCCCCTCCTAGTTACCAGAGTGCGTTCAAGAAGTGCTGCTCCTATTTCTGAGGCAATACCCATGTGCTTCCCAACACCACTGCAATGAGTCACTGCACTTCCTCTCAATGATCACCAAAGATGGACGGCCTCTGAGAAAGTACGTAAAGAGCTGGCAAGAAGCAGGGATAGGGACAGGGACGTGAACTGCAAGGAGTACCTCAAGGCCTGAAACAGTCCTTGACCCTTCTGAGCGACACACTCAACCCACACCCTCTCTCATCCTTCCCTGCGTCTCTATCCTCAGCTGCCTCCTCCTCCCCCTCAGCCTGGCAACCCTCTTCTCCGTCCCCAGGTGTGCAGACCACCCTGCCTTCCAGTCTGAAGGCTGACAGCCCAGGATTGGACTGCATATGGGGATAGGGAGTGGGCAGCAGGGCAACCCAGGAGGTGGCAAGAGCACAAACCAACCCCATGTCCTACACCCTGCCTGTTCTCTGTTCTCAACCAGCAGCAGCCACACAGGGTTAAGCTCCCTCTTCCCCTCCCTGCCCAATACCCATCGAGAGCTGGTCCACCAGGCATGCAGGTCATGCCACCGAGAGACCATGGGAAGGAGACGCTTTGGTCCCAGGGGCCAGTTGCAGGCACCACGATGATGGTCAGGCAGCTCATGACCTTATAGCAGCCTTCCAGTACTTAAAAAGGGCTTAAAAGTTAAATGGAGAGAGACTCTTTACCAAGGCCTGTAGTAACAGCACAAGGAGAAATGGTTTTCAATAGAAGGGCAGTAGATTTACATTTGATATAAGAATGAAATTTTTTACGATGAGGGTGTGAGGCACTGAAGCAGATTGCCAAGAGAAGTTGTGGATGACCCATCCCTCTGTTCAAATCCAGGATGGACAGGCCTTTGAGCAACCTAATCTAGCAAAAGGGGGGTTGGACTTGAAAGATCCCTTCCAACCAAACCATTCTGTGATTCGGTGATTCTAACCACAGAGCTGGAGAAGACGGTGGTCGATTACCCCATCTTTCAGCAGCATTGCTCCTCACCAAGAAGAGCCTTTGGCTGCCCCTCGCCCTGCAGGCTGCACAGGGAGCCAGCATCCCCCAGTGCGGGAGAGGCAGTGGCTGCTGGAGGCTGCACCGTGGCAGCAGCAGCAGCCGAGATCGAGCAGATCCCACAGGGCACAGGATGGGGATTTCCCAAGAGGGCCAGGGCCAACTGCACCTCACAAAATGGGAGACGAGCATCAACACGCGCAGAAGGGGTCACAGACCAACACAGAGGTCCAGCTAGGCCAAGTTGAGACCGTGCTACTTGTAGGGTGGGGAAGAGGGAAAGGAGGAACCCAAAGCACTGTGCTGGGACCACACAGCTTCTCAGATGTACTTCCTCGGGGCTGCCAGGGGCTGGAAAAGCCTCGTCCAAGCTCCTCCATGAAGATTCATAGGGACAGGGCTTTTGCACACAAAACAGGGAGGAACCATGACAAGGTGGGAGCTGTCGTGGTGCAGGCAGCCCCTGCAAACCAGAAGAATTTATTGGTTGTTGGGACACAGCAGCACAGCTGCGAGGACAGCGTGGTTGATCCAACCTCAAGCAGAGTCCAGGGTCTAGATAGATATGGCAA